ACAAGCATCTGTCTCCCCATCTAAACTTGAACTGCACGGATGGAACTTCATCAAAGACCTGCAGCTTCAGCCATTATCCCTCACAGGCCAGTGGCAGCTGTCTGTCCCCGAACACAGCCCTCCCTATGACAGGAAGCTATATGTATGTTTCTGGAATAGTTCATACATAGCTTGCAGGACCCAGTGGGCAAAATGCCTGCCCTCCAGATGCTCAGCATCTGTGCTCTGCTGGCAGATGGCTGCTTCTCATCGCAGCACAGGCCGAGACTTAGCCATCACCGGTGCTCTTCCTGGTCCTTGAGCGCCTCTCCTTCCAGCTACGGTGACTTAATGGTGAATGGAAGGGCCAAGGCCCAGGCCCTCTGCTGCTCCTTTCATTTTTCTCCTTTTTTCCTCCTCTTGAGAGGCAGCCAGTACAGATTAGGGCATTCAAAAGCAACTACATATGAGGGAAAATTAGAAAGTTGATGTACATAGCTAGAGAAAGAAGTAGGCTTAGAAAAATCCAAACTCATACATCAGACAGATCCCTGGCACAGAGACAGATGGCAATTATGAAAAAAAAGAAAAATAATCACAAAAAAATAACACACTGTGGAGAACAGCGAACATCTGACTTACCATGGTAATTGCATTTTTAAATTCAGACATCCAGTTTTCAGCCAACACACACACTCCACAAAGCTAGAAAGAAACAGGAAAGAATAGCCCATTGAAAGGAAAACAAACCAACACAATCTGTCTCTGACAAAAACCTGTTACCTGAAGATGTTTATTTTATTTGAATTCTTGGGCATTGCCGAGGACTGAGGCCAGCGCTGTGTGCATGCCGGGCCGGGCAAACCCTCCGTTTAGTCCACACCCCAGCCAGACCTGCCTCAAACACCACTGACACAGCCCCTGACTAAAAGACCACGTGGAGGACGGCAACAAAGTGGTGTGCCAGAGAAAATGGAGATACTAAAAAGAAAACCTGATTTGAAATTTGAAAAAATTCTGGAGCTACAAATTACAATATATGTAAGGAAAGTTCATCTGAGAGTTGAGTGGTTTTGAGCAGACGGAAGAAAGAATCCGTGCATTTGAGCATAGGACAAGTTCTTTGTAATCTGTGGTGCAGAGGATGGAATCCAGGACCCCCACATGCCAGGCGGGAAGTCTGTTGAGTTTCCCCCATCAGAGTACATGTTACTGAACACGAAGAGCAAGAAGAAGGGAAGGAAGGGCCAACAACTGGGTGAACAGCCTGGTGCTGTGGCTCAAGCTTGCGGTCTGAGTTACGTGGAAGGATGAGGTTGAACATTGCAGGTGGAAGGCAGTCTGGAGTAGACATTCATGAGACGCCCAGCTCAACAAATGTCTGGATATCTTCCATGCTACATGACTGCCCTCCCTGTTGAGAAAAGCACAAATAAGAGCATTGCAGCTGGGAGCCAGTGGCTCACGCCTGTCATCCTAGCTACTCAGGACACTGAGATCTGAGGATCTCGGTTCAGAGGCAGCCTGGGCAGGAAAGTCTGTGAGTCTCTTATCTCCAATAAACCACCAGAAAACCAGAAGTGGCTCAAGTGGTAGAGTGCTCGCCTTGAGCTGAAGAGCTGAGGGACAGCGCCCAGGCCCAGAGTTCAAGTCCCATGACCGACCAAAAAGAAAAAAGAAAAAAAAAGAGCATTGCAGTCTAAGCTGGCCAGGATGTAAAGCATGATCCTGTCTCAGCACAAGAAAGGCTAGGTTGTGATTCAAGCAATATAGCACTTGAATTTAAACCCCAGTACTGCCAAAATAAAAACAGATAAAAAGGGGTCGGGTTTAGCTCCGCTTCATGCAAGAGCACTTGCCTACTTGCCTAATAAGTGCAAGGCCCAGAGTTTGGTCTTCAGCTCTGCAGAAATTAAAAAAAAGAAAAGTTAATAGAACCCAAGAGGCTTGTAGGATGTCATCAATGAGAAGAATCAAGAGCACTGGGAATTGCAGAGGGAGAAAACTTCAGGATGGAAAAGTTTTGAAGAAATAATGGCCTATAGCTTCTCAAAGCTGATCAAAATCAACAAACTTCAACTAACATGAACCATGCCTACACTAAGACACAAAATAAAGCTTCCAAAAGCCAATGATGGGCTGGGTGTGTGGCTCACACGTGTAATCCTAGCTACTTAGGAAGCAGAAATCATGAAGATCATGATACAAAACTGGTAGATATAAAAAAGAAAATGAGCCGAGTGCCAGTGGCCCATGCCTGTAATCCTAGCTACTCAGGAGGCTGAGATCTGAGGATCGTGCTTCAAAGCCAGCCCGGGCACAAAAAGCCATGAAACTCTTATCTCCAACAAACTACCAGAAAACCAGAAGTGGTGCTGTGGCTCAAGTGGTAGAGCACTTGCGTGAGCTGAAAAGCTGTGGGACAGCGCCCAGGCCCAGAATTCAAGCCCCATGACCGACCCACAATCTCTCCCCCCAACCCCCACCAAAAAAAAAAAATGAGACTACATCTGAACAAATAAGCCAGGCATTGTGGCTATATGGGGGGTATAATTAGGAAACTCAAGGTCCCTGGCCAGTCCAGGCAAAAAGCAAGAACCTACCTATAAATATAAATAAAGTGAAAATAGCAGGGGTCATGGCTCAAGTGGTACTTGCTTGCCTAACAGGCACAAAGCCCTGAGTTCAAATTACATACTGGGGGCAGAGGTGGGGATAGGAGACTTTAAGAGGGAGACCATTTTTCACACTGAAGAGATCATCAGTAGGATTATCGTATTTCCCATCAAAAATGTTTGAGTCATCTGATGAATTCACAATGCTAAGTGGGAAAAACCATCAACTAAGAACTGTATGTGTGCTCTTGTAGTTCAGTATTAGAGCACTTACCTGGCATGGTGCCAGGTCCTAGATTCCAACCCTAGCTCCACACAGAGACAGGAAAGCCTGCATAGACAGTTGTTCATCAAAAGTGAAGGTGAGCTAGGTGCTAGTGGCTCATGCCTGTAATCCTAGCTATTTAAGAGCCTGATATCAGAGGATTGAGGTTCAAAGCCAACCCAAGCAGTTAACTACCAAATGTCAGAAGTGGAGCCATGGCTAGCCTTGAGCACAAAACACAGACACACACAGACTCTCTCTCTCTCTCTCTCTCTCTCTCTGAAGATGAAATTAAGATATTCCCGGGAGGGAGTTCATTCCCATTGATGTACACTTCAAGAACAAGCAAGGTATCCTATAGGAGAATAAAGATTTTAAAATACACGAGTAGTTGTGAAAGCTAGTATTACTAAGCAATGGTTTGTAAGTGTACTCTTGATTTTCTGTGTGCTTCAAGAACCTAATATAGTAGAAAAAATAGTCTGAACGTTAACATTATTACCTTAGTGATTAGATGCTACACTTTTCCCATATAGTTTAAAAGACCAGTACATGCAAAAAAAAATTATTGGCATACAGTATAGAAAGATACAATTTTGTGATGTCAGCAGCTGAAAGGGGTGGGACAGAGATATTTAAAGAGCCACATTTTTGCACCTTATTGGAAGTACTCTGGTATAAATTCAAATTAGAATATCATTTAAGATCATAATTGTAACCATGGATGTAACTGCAAGAAAAAAACAGCCACACAGCCGCGTGTGGTGGTATGATTAGGAAGTGAAAATGGGATCTGGTTGAGGCTAGCCTGAGCAAAAGAGAGTTTTAAAAGTTACTATCTCAACAAAGAAGCCTAGTAGAGCTGGGTACCAGTGGCTCATGGTTATAATCCTGGCTCCTGAAGTGGCTGAGATCACTGGATCAAAGTTTGAAGTCAGCTCAGTAGGAATGTCCATGAAACTCTTACCTTCCAGTTAACCAGTAAAATTCCAGAAGTGAAGCTGGGGCTCAAGTGGGTGAACACTAGCCTTGAGCATAAAAGGTCACGACAGTGCCCAGGCTCTGAGTTTAATCTCCAGGACTGGCACACGTTTGCACGCACACACACACACCTGGTGGTACATGGCAGCGGCAGCTACTTGGGAATCGGAGGTAGGAAGACCATTGTTTAGGCCAGCTTAGGAAGCTTGAGACCCTCCAAACCCCAGGGAGGTGGGAAGGAAGGAAGCAAGAACACGTGCAGAACACATACGCAGGACATGAGAAATAAGCATAAGCATTCATAACCAGTAACCAGCTGAACACAGAAGTTGGCAATATAGAAGTTGAATCTTTAAGGCCTATAAATAAGAAATAGGTAAGTGACAGGAGCACTTTAAGCTTATAAAATAGACTTTGCTTTACACTTGTTGTTGTTGTTTAGGGTTTGGGTTTTTTTTGTTTTGTTTTGTTGAGACCTCGGTAACCTTACTTTGTAAAAGCCCAGACTTCTCAGACCTCCTGCTTTACCTCCCAAGTGCCAGGATCACAGGTGTGTATAACCACACTAAGCTCAAAATAGACTTTAAATCAGAACAAGTTACAGGAGACAACAGGGACATTGGCTGTGAGTGGGAATGTAAAATGGCAGGACTGCTGAGGAGAGCAGGTGCCGTGCTTTAAGAAATTAAAGGCAGTATTACCATAGGATTCAGCGCTACTTCTAGATACATAGCCAAACAAACAAAAGCAGGTTCTCAAAGAGCCATTTGTACATCTGTGTTTATAGTAACCAAAACAAGGAAGCAGCCCAAGTATGGAACAAGCAAACAAATAAGCAAACTACAGTCTATACTTACCATGGGAATTTGTTCACCCTTAAAAGAAGGGTGCTGGATGCTGGTGGCTCACACCTGTGTTAGCTACTAAAGAGGCTGAGATCTGAGTATTGTGGTTTGAAGTCAGCCTGGCCAGGAGAGGCCCTGAGACTGTCTCAACAATTAACTACAAAAAAAAAAGAACACAAAAAACCAGAAGTGGACCTGTGGTGCAACTTGTAGAGCACTAGCCTTGAGCGAAAAAGCTAAAACACAGCACCCAGGCCCCAAGATGAAGGCCTAGGCCAGCACCGGAAAAAAAAGGGGAGTGAGGAAGCAATATGGATGGACCTTGATAAGCCAGTCACAAAGGACCGAGGCTGCGGTAGCACCTGCCTGCAGTTCGAGTCTGCCAGAGGATCAGGAGTTAAGCTCCAGTGGGGCACCATAGTGAGATTCTGTCTCCAGAACATCAAAACGAAATGAAAACTGGACAGATTCTCTGACCCTACCTAATGCTAAATATATGCAGTACACTAAAGTGGTTGAGGTGATACTTCATGTCTTACGATTTTATTACAATAAAAGACTGGATGATGGGGCACATCTGTAATTTCAGCTGTTGCAGCGGCAGATAGGAAAAGAATCAAAGTTTGAACCCAGGCCTGGCTGAGAACCTATTTCAACACACAATCCAGGCATGTAGTAGGTCCCTGTAATTCCAGCTAGGTGGGGGGCAATAGAGATAGGAAGATTGCATACCAAGGCTAGTCCTGAAGTAAAGGGCACTAAGAATGCCTGTGACCTGGGGCTCAAGAGGCTGAGATTCTGATTCATGGTTTGAGGCCAGACAAAATTAGTCAGCCAAAAAAAAAAAGCTGGAAGTAGAGTTGTGGCTCAAGTGGTAAAGCACTAGCCTTTAACAAAAAAGCTGGAGGACAGTGCCCAGGGCCTGAGTTCAAACCCCAGGACTGACACTATCAAGTGTGAAAGCCTAAGTTCAACCCCTGCCAGCGCTGCCAGTAATGAACAAACCGAAAGGGGAGGAAGATGTCAGCGCAGTGGCCAGACGCTCGTCTGGATGGAAAGCTACACATGGCTTCCATCAGTTTCTTGGCTGATCTAATATTTCACTGATTTAATTTTTCTAGGCTCTTGGGATGCTCTTTTGGCATAAGCATAATATTGAAAAGTCCTTGGCTGATTTGCCCAACTTCACCCCCTTCCCAGATGAATGGACTGTGGAAGATAAAGTATTATTTGAGCAAGCCTTCAGTTTTCATGGGAAAACTTTCCACAGAATCCAACAGATGGTAAGTGGTGCTTTGTGTTGTTTTTGTATTAGTCTCTACTTTGAAGCTTGTGTGAAAGACAACCTCAATCTCAAAAGTTTTCATTTATAACGATTGCTTTAGGGAAAGAATGGCTTGCTAGTGCTGCTCTGTGGCTGGGAAAGTTCCCACTGCAGTGAGCCTTTCTTCCCCTGGAGTGACAGCTGCTGTCACCGCCCCTCCCCCAGTTCTGCTTGATGAGTCTACCCATGCTCCTGCCAGCAGGGCAGTGGAAAACTGTTTGCTAGGTGGTGTTGGTTCTCACCCATAATACCAGATACTTAGGTATGCAGGTTCAGAACCATTTCTGGCAGATAACCTCGACTCTCTTCTCCAGTTAACGCAAAGAGCAGGAAGTAGGAAGTAGAGTTGTGGCTGAAGTGGTAGAGTCCCAGCCTTGAGCAGAAAAACCTCTCAAAGGCATGAAGGACTGAGTTCAGGCTCCAGTACTGGCACCAAACAGAAAAAAAGCTATTTGAAGCCAGGCGCCAGTGGCTCACTCCAGTCATTGTAGCTACTCAAAAGGCGGCGATCTGAGGATTGCGGTTCAAAGCCAGCCTGGGCAGGAAAGTCTGTGAGACTTACTATTTTTTTGTCAGTTGTGGGGCTTAAACTCTGAGTCTGGGTACTGTCCCTCAGCTCTTCAGCTCAAGGCAGCACTTCTGAGTGGTTTATTGGAAATAAGACTTTTCTGCCTGGGCTGGCTTTGACCTCGATCCCCAAATATCAGCCTCTTGAGTAGCTAGGATGAGAGAGCCACCAGTGTCCAGCTTCCTGAGACTCATCTCCAATTAACCACCAGAAAACCGGAAGTGGCTTTGTGGTTCCAGTGGTAGAGAAAGAGAGCACTTGCTTGAGCTGAAGAGCTCAGGGACTGTGCCCAGGCCCAGAGTTTAAGTACCACAACTGAGGGAGAGAAAAAGCTATTTGGGTAGATTCCAACTTAAATCTTACTGACGGTTGCATTAATGTTAAAATGAATCTTTAAAAATTGCACCAAAAGGTACGTTAAGGACATGGATTATATGAAAAAAAATTATAACCTGATTTCACAATTCTTTATTTGGCATTGCACACTTGAGTAACCTGTGTTATTGTCTGTATAGAGAATTCATTTTGTCAATGTTTTTCCTTATCAGAAAAGAAAGGATGTGAATTCAGACATTTCTGCATAAGTGAGAGTAACCCTTATTAAATACATCTAATTGGATTTGACTGGTAAAGATGAGTGTCAAACCTAAGCCAACTCATTTTTTTACATTTAGCTTCCTGATAAATCTATAGCGAGTTTGGTGAAATTTTACTACTCTTGGAAGAAGACAAGAACTAAAACCAGCGTGATGGACCGACATGCCCGGAAACAAAAGCGGGAGCGGGAAGAGAGGTGAGCGCCGACTGGGGTGTCAGCCAAAGCACACGGGAGAAAGCTAACCATCCTGACAGCACAGCTTACACGCATTTCTTCTCCTGACAACATCGCGCAGCGCTGGGAAGCAGAGCGCTCATTCCCTGCAGCTGAAGCCACTGGGTTTGAATGCGTGAACTAAAGCACAGATGAAAGCTTTCACTCCTTTTCATAAAAACACATAGCCAGGTGTGCACCATTGGCCCACGGTGGTAATCTTAGCTACTTGGGACACTGAGATATGAGAATTGAGGTTCAAAGCCAGCCTGGGTAGGAAAGTCTGTAAGACTTTTTTTGGGGGGTCCAGTCGTGGGGCCTGAACTCTGGGCCTGGGCACTGTCCCTCAGCTCTTCAGCTCAAGGCTAGCGCTCTACCACTTGAGCCACAGCGCTACTTCTGGCTTTTTTCTTTTTGCTTATGTGGTACTGAGGAATCAAACCCAGGGCCTCATGCATGCAAGGCAAGCGCTCTACCACTGAGCTACCTTCCCAGCCCCTGTAAGACTCTTAACTCCACTAAATAACCAGAAAACTGGAAGTGGCACTGTGGCTCAATTAGTGGAGTGCTATCCTTGAGCACAAAGAGGCTTATGGACATTGTCCAGACCCTCAGTACAAGCCCCACAACCAACAAAAATAAAATTAAAGCCAGTCACCTGTATCCTAGCTACTGTGAGACTTTTTTTTTTTTTTTTGTCTTTTGTCAGTGTGGGGCTTGGGCCCTGTCCTGTGCTCTTCAGCTCAAGGCGAGTGCTCTACACTGCTTGAGCCACAGCACCACTTCCGGTTTTCTAATGGTTTATTGGAGATAAGAGTCTCTCGGACTTTCCTGCCCGGGCTGGCTTTGAACAGAGATCCTCAGATCTCAGCCTCCTAAGTAGCTAGGATTACAGGCATGAGCCACTGGCACCTGGCTTCTGTGAGACTCTTATCTCTAATAGACCACTAGAAAGGGGCCGAGAAGGTGGCTCCAGTGGTAGAGCGCTTGCCTTGCATGCATGAGGCCCTGGGTTCGATTCCTTAGCACCACATAAGCAAAAAGAAAGAAGCCAGAAATGGTGCTGTGGCTCAAGTGGTAGAGCGCTAGCCTTGAGCTGAAAAGCTGAGGGACAGCGCCCAAGCCCATTGTTCAGGCCCCACGACTGGACCCAAAAAATAATAATAATACTAATAAAAATTAAGTTTAGATTTCCTTTCCCTTTGTTGACCCATCTACCTATCTGTCTTGTTTGTGCGAGTTTTGTGTGTGGGTTTTTGTTTTGTTTGTTGGGTTTTTTTTTGGTGTGAGTATCGGGGCTGGAACTTAGGGCCTCCCACTCACCCTTTGCTTCTTTCGTTGTTGTTGGTCATGGAGCCTGAATTCTGGGCCTGAGTACTGTCCCTGAGTTCTACCACTTGAGCCACCACCACTTCTGGCTTTTTCTGTTTATGTGGTGCTGAGGAATCAAACCCAGGGCTTCATGCATACAAGGCAAGCGCTCTACCACTGAGCCACCTTCCCAGCCCCCTTCTTTAATTTCTTAAAAAGACATTTATTTAGTTTTGCCAGTTGCTTGTGGCTTACATATGTAATCCTAGCTACTCAGGAGGCTGAGATCTGAGGATCTCAGTTCAAAGGCAATCAAGGCAGGAAAGCCCACGAACCTTTTATCTCCAATTAATCACAGATAAAGCTAGAAGAAGAGCTGTGGCTCAAGTTGTAGAGGGCTAGTCTTGAACAAAAAAGGAAGTTCCGGGACAGCACCCGGGCCCTGGCTTCAAGCCCTGGGACCAGCAAAAAAAAAAAAAATAATAATAATAATACATTTATTTAGTTTTGTTCTTGCTATTAGTTTGGAGTTCTCTCTCTCTCCCCCTCTGCCTTCTCCTCTCTTTCTGTCCCCACTCTCTTCTGGCCCCTTTCCTTCTCCTCTCCTTTCCTCTGTAGTTCCCTTTGTCATCTCCCCTTCCTCCCCCACGCTGGGGATTAAATGTAGGGCCTTGCACATGCTAGACCTATGCTCTACCACTGAGCCGCACCCACCCTGGATCATCGGAGTGAAGAGAAGCTCCCTACGCCTAGTAAGGGAAGGTGTGTGTTAGCCGCCATTTCCTCAGCCGTCCATAGCTGCGGGCAGTGACAGTGCCATCTCTTCAGCAATCAGAATGGACTCCAGGCTGGGCTCAGAAGTCCCACTTTGCATCCTCCTGGGCGAGTTAGTTCCTCCCAAGCCTGCTTTGGTGATAGTAGCTGAAGGTGCTTGACATCCAAAAGGCAGTGCATATGCACAAGGTGGCCTTTAAAAGTATTTCCACATTTTCTATAATAATACTGTTTTAGTACGTTGAAAGTACAAAATAAATTGGAGAATAAATACATTATCCCCAATGTCCCTTCTAGAGTATATTACTTGTTACAAAGAAAAATTATGTGCAAGAACACATTGAAAATAGAATGTCAGGGGCTGGGAAGGTGGCTCAGTGGTAGAGCGCTTGCCTCACATGAATGAGACCCCTGGGTTCGATTCGTCAGCACCACATCAACAGAAAAAGCCAGAAATAGTGCTGTGGTTCAAGTGGTAGAGCACTCGCCTTGAGCTGAAGAGCTGAGGCCCAGAGTTCAGGCCCCATGACAGACCCTCCCCCCCCCCCCCCCCCCCCCCCCCGCCAAAAAAAAAAAAATCACTTTTGGGAAAATTCGAACCTCTGGGACCAAGTGTAAATTGGTAGTGATGTTAAGAACATATCCATGGGCTAGGAAGGTGGCTCAGTGATAGAGCGTTTGTCTCGCAAGCATGAGGCCCTGGGTTCGATTCCCAATACTACATAAACAGAAAAAGCTGGAAGTGGTGCTATGGCTCAAGTAGTAGAGCGTTAGCCTTGAGCTGAAGAGCTGAGGGACAGTGCCCAGGCCCAGAGTTCAAGACCCAGGACTGACAAAAAAAAATAATAAAACCACATTTATCCAAAGCTGGGTGTGTGGTGGTACTTAGTGCTTAGTTCCAGCACTAAGGATGCTAAGGCAGGGGATCACTTGAACCCAGAACTCAGGAGTTTGACCAACTAAGTTCAGATAGCAAGTCCCTTCTCAGAAAAACAAAATGGGGCTGGAAATGTGGCTTTAGTGGTAGAGAGCTTGCCTTGCATGCATGAGGTCCTGGGTTTGATTCCTCAGCACCACATAAACAGAAAAGGCTGGAAGGGGCGCTGTGGCCCAAGTTTTGGAGCACTAGCCTTGAGCTGAAGAGCTGGGGGACAGCATCCAGGCCCAGAGTTCAGGCCACAGGACTGGCAAAAAAAAAAAGCATCACTAAAACCATGAATCTTGATTTGTATGTATGTTCTTTTGCATACATATTATTGGATCTACTTATGCATTAGTACTCTTTGGTTTTTGATTAAATATTTAACTTCCTTTATATGTTATTTATTTTAATTATAAAATTGAATCTGTTACTACAAGCATGTTCAATCTACTAAGCAGCAATCTAAATTAAGTCAGATAGATTGGGATTGATTATCCTTGATTATGACATTAGCATGCTGGCTGACATTCCCGCATTTTCACACCCACGTGCTTCTCTTCGCACGACTGCTGCTGGGGAAGAGTGGGTACCCCTCTTGTGCACCGCACACTGCGAGGACACACACTGGCCGCAGCCCTTGAGGGCTTACTGAGCTCTCACAGGCCTTGCCGTAGCCGCTGGTTCTTGTCTTGAACACTCTCCCCCTAGAGCCTCTCCTTGCTTGGTAGAGATGGGGACGGGGACACAGTGGAGGCTGGCTCTGAACTCCCCTCTTCCACCACCGTCCCAGTTCTCTGGGGGCAGGGAGCCTGACTCTGTTCCTCCTAAAAATAAAACACTTCCCAGCAAGCACAGCGGGTGGATCTTTGAAGTGCCAGGCCACTGCAAGTCGTCGCTGTTTTAATGGCAGTACTGGTGTTTGAACTTGGCCCAGTGTCAGGCATGACCCCGCACTCCCCCCACCCCTCACCCCCAACACACTTCTGTTCCCCTTCGGTTATTTTTCAGGTCATCTTGTCCCCTCTGGTCACCATCTTCCTACCTGTCTTTCCTGTCTGCTTAGCTGGGATTACAGAAGTTTACCACCATGTCCACCTGACCTGTTAGCATGGATGCTACAGAGTTTTTGCCCTTAAACCATGCTCCCCCATCAGAGGACTAGGAGTCATCACTTCAGTGGTTGAGTGTGGGCCTGTGTTCAATTCCCAATACTGCCAGGAAAACACACACACACACACACACAAAATATGCAGGTCACCAAAAGCCTCAGGCTTTTTGTGACTGTGAACAGAAAGTTGGGACTTGAAAATGGATTGGTACTTGTTGCTAAGTTTGTTGATTCTTGTAGAAGCTCTTTGTCTTGCTGCTTAACCATAGCCTAGACCTCCAGTAGAACTATGAAATGGTTGCTGTTCAGTTTGAATTATGAACCGTTTTTGTCTCAGCAGTCTGAGGTCATGTAGAGTAATTTTACATTAAACTTGTCACTAAATCAAGTTTCGAGTTATATTTTTATATGAACTAGAATTAATCCAGAATAACCTTTTAGTAATTTTTTCTTGTCTTCCAGTGAGGATGAACTGGAAGACACAAACGGAAGTAACCCCATTGACATTGAGATTGATCAGAACAAGGAGAGCAAAAAGGAGGTACTGCCCTACAATTGCTCAGGCAAAGGAACCTCATCACTGGTTTTTCTGCGCATTCTCCCTAGTACATTAAGTGCCGTGTGAAAAGTTCCTGTTAGGACTTTATTGCCAACTTAACTTTATGTAACTTAGAATTCTGTTTGCCAGGAATCATAAGTAAAAGAACCTTTATAGGAAAACAAAAGCCAGGTGCCGGTGGCTCATGCCTGTCATCCTTGCTACTCAGGAGACTGAGATCTGAGGATGTGGTTCAAAGCCAGCCTGGGCAGGAAAGTCTGTGAGACTCTGATCTCCAATGAACCACCAGAAAACCAGAAGTGGAGCTTTGGCTCAAGTGGTAGAGCGCTCTCCTGGGGCTGAGAGCTCAGGAAGAGCCCAGGCCCAGAATTCAAGACCCACCACCGACACCCCCTCATCCCCTACCCACCCACCGACACCCGGCCAAAAAAAAATATATATCGTTGCACAAGAGATGTTTTTTGAAGACTCTGAACTTAAGCAGCTCATGAGCTCCTTCAATTGCATATGACTGTTGGTGTTTTCATATGGGTGTCTGTCTTTTGTCTGGATGGTATTTTTGCAAATGATTTATAGGAGTGCCTGAATGACAAGGTCTAAGAGTTAACTCAATCGCATGGTTTAGGATGTTGTACTTGGAATTTTGAGTGGACTTTGTTTTGATAGATTGCTACTTACTAGAGACTTTGAGGTATTTAAAATGAACAAGGAGAGACTTTTCTATAATTCTTATTTATATCATAGCACAATTTCTGACTCAAAAAGAAAATTGGCTAAATCTTAATTTCTTTTAAATGTATAATGCTATTAACAACACACACAGGTCATTGGGTAGTCTTTATAAAACAGTGCTATTCAGAACATAGTTTGTGCCTGCTAATATTTTTATGTTATTATCACTTCAGAAATTGCCATTACTATCATAGATCTTAGTTTGTATTTTGTATTTTAGTTTTTAAAATTTGAAGCAAAAATCCACTTCAGTAGTTCTATTAGCAAATGTTACCCTAGCAAAAGGAGATCAGTCATGAGCAATTGTTGGAACTTATTCTTCTTAAAATGATTACTAGCAAGACAGTCCTTGTCTTGCCAAGATTTTGTTGTGTTTCAGTTTGGGAATTCTTTTTTTTTGGGGGGGGGGTCTGGTCATGGGGCCTGAACTCTGGGCCTGGGCGCTGTCCTTCAGCTCAAGGCTAGTGCTCTACCACTTGAGTCACAGCGCCACTTCCAGCTTTTTTCTTGGTGCTGAGGAATCAAACCCAGGGCCTCATGCATGGAAGGCAAGAGCTCTACCACTGAGCCACCTTCCCAGCCCCCAGTTTGGGAACTCTTTATTTTTGAGGAAACACAGAAAAGTTAGCATGTCTTGGATGTGTGGATGTGTGGTGCCTGTGCTGAGCTCCGCTCAGAGCCGCAGCTCTCACGTGGCTTTTGCTCAAGACTGTGTCTGCACTTGGCTCACTCCCACTTCCTCCTTGGTGCTTAATTGGAAACTATGAATGCTTTTCTTCCTGGGCTGTTTTTGACCTGTGATCTTCAGGTCTCAGCCTCCTGAGAAGCTAGGATTGCAGGTGTCAGCCACCAGCATCCAGCAGTGATATGCAGAGAAGGTCATAGTTCATATTACAGTTTGTGTTTTGGTTGCTTACTGGAGTTTAAGTCCATAGCCTTGCATGCACTAGGCAGGCACTGTACAACTTGAGCCATTCCTCTAGTCTTTTTTTTTTCTTGCCAGTCCTGGGGCTCATATTCAGGGCCTGGGCACTACCCTGAGCTTCTTTTAGTCAAGGCTAGCACTCTGCCACTTGAGCCACGGTGTCCCTCCCTGCTTTTTCTGTTTATGTGCTACTGAGGAATTTAACCCAGGGCTTCCTGCATGGTAGGCAGGCACTCTACCACTAGTCACCTTCCCAGTCCCTTGGCTTTAGTTATTATGGAGATAGGGTTTTGAGTATTTGCCAGGGACTGACTTTAAATGAAGATCTTCTTACCTCTGGCCTTCTATACAAGATAACAGAAGTGAGTCACCACCCCAGAGATAGGCTCTTGCCAAATTTCTTTTAACTTTAATTTTATTTTTTGTCCAATTTGATTCTCCAATCTTCACTTCTGGAGTAGCTAAGATTACAGTTGTGAGGCCTAAAAGTTCGTATTCCAGATGAGTTAAAGATACACACATAGCACCTGGTGCTGATGGCTGCCGGGTGAGAGCTGCTGAAGTCCTAGCACCTGAGGCTCCTGTCCTCTATTAATCAGCAGAGTGCTGGGCTGGAAGGAGAGCGCACAATGGTAGAGCACAGCTGTACCAGCAATCAAAGCCAAACGAGAGTGCAAGGACCTGATTTAAGCCTCAGTACCTTACTAACAAGCACCTAATTAACAAAATTTACAGAGCCTATTTTTTCTGTCTGTGGCATATAGAGGTCTGTATTGCTGGAGAAGAGTAGTGAGATAGAATTATTCCTGCTTCACTTCCCATTTGATAAAGATAGGGCCACAGAGCTCACAGAGAACACAAGTTGTTTTTCTGCCTGTTACTATCAGAGGCGGAAAGAGAGAAAGGAGGAACAATAAGAATCCCCAGGCCAGTCTGTGGCTGCTGACCACAATGGGGATTTAGACGCAGCGTAGTATTTGTTTTGGGTCATTTGGGGCTATATTAAGGACATAGGCTTTGCACTGTTCATTTCTGTTTTACACTTTCATATTTCTAATATATATATCATGCAGGCACCGCCTACTGAGGCAGTTCCTCAGGTAAAAAAAGAAAAACATAGCACACAGGCCAAAAATCGAGCGAAAAGGAAACCTCCGCGAGGAATGTTTCTTTCTCAAGAAGACGTGGAAGCGGTTTCTGCCAATGCCACGGCTGCCACCACGGTGCTGAGACAGCTGGACATGGAGCTGATCTCCATCAAACGACAGGTACTGTCCCACCAGCCACGATGGCAGCTGCCACCGTGCGTGCAGTGACACCGCCAGCCAAGTGCACATCCCAGAGGTGTGGCTGCCGTTCACACAGACACCACCCCTAAAAGAGCACTTTGTTCCTAACGAAATGAACAGAGGAGACAAGTATATGGATGTTAAGTTTATATACAGTACATTTATGTGTATGTACGTGTATGTGTATATAATGACGGCTATATGTGCAAGCTCTTGAACTTGCTGAAATGGCATTCTATCACTCGACCTGTGCCCCACATGCTTTTCCCTTTAGTTGTTTTCCACATTGGGTCTCATGTTTATGCCTGGGTTAGTGTGGACTGTGTGTGGTTCTCCTGCGGTGATGACAGGTGTGTGCCACCACCTCAGCTTTCATTGGCTGAGATGAACCTGTTGGCTACCTTTTTTTTCTCTCAGGGCAAGTACTCTACCACTTGAGCCCAAGTCCACTTCCTGCTTTTTGGTGGTTAATTGGAGATGAAGAGTCTCATAGACTTTTCCACCCTGGCTGGCTTATAACCGGGATCCTCACTTCTCAGCCTCTTTGAGTAGCAAGGATTATAGGTGTGAACAACCAGTGCCCAGCTTCCTATACCTTTTTTTTTTTAATCCCTGGCTTTTTATATTTCCATATAAAAATGGAAATTTTGTAAATTTCCAAGAACAATTCTGTTAGCATTATGATTGGGATGTTGTTTTAGCTATGGACTTGCTGTCCTCATTGAGTCTTTTTTTTTTTTGGTCAGTTATAGGTCTTAAACTGGGCCTGTGCACTGTCCCTCAGTTTTTCAGCTCAAGGCTAGTGCTCTGCCACTTAAGCCACAGTGCCACTGCCATTTTTCTGAGTGGTTTATTGGAGATAAGAGTCTCACGGCCTTTCCTGCCTGGGCTGACTTTGAAGTACGATCCTCAGATCTCAGCCTCCTGAGTAGCTAGGATTACAGTCGTGAGCCACCAGCGCCCGGCTCATTGAATCTTCTGAGTGGAGGTGCACGCTCTCCCTTTCAGGCCTTCAGTGTGTGTGTGTTGTGTTGCTTTCTGTGCACAAGCTTGTGCGTCCTCTGCTAGAATCACTCCTTGGTGTTTGGTGTTCTGTAGAGAATTTTTGGTTTTGTTGGTTTGTTTTTGTTTTTGTGGTGGTTCTGGGGCTTGCTCCTAGGGCCTGGGTGCTGTTCCCAAACTTTTTTGCTCAAGGCTAGTACTCTGCAACATAGGCCAAAGCTCTGCTTCTGGCATTCTGGTGGTTAATTGGAGATAAGAGTCTCATGGTCTTTGCTGCCCAGTCTGGCTTTGAACCTCAATTCTCAGATCTCAGTTCCTGAGTGACGCCAGGCTATAATATATTTGTAAGGATCTTCTGAAATTCCGTGTAGAAAGGACTTATCACTTCAGTTTGCAGAGTACACTCAGACTGAAAATTCAGCATGATAATCTAGTACTGGTAACTCATTAATTCTTTCTCTTTAGTTCTAGAAAGCCATCAGCAGATTGCAGCTGCCCTTTAGTTGTGAATTTTGCGGCTTTTGCCTTGTTAGTCTTGATGGTGTCCTTGAAAGTTTAGATGGGAGGCAGCTGTGATTTCCCAGTGAGAAGGGGTGGGGGTCTGTGGCCACTGTGTTGGGGTAGGAGGCAGTACTGGCTTGGCCGAGCAAGGCCCCAGAACTAGAATCACGGACTGGCACAGCTGTGTTCTAATCTTAGGAGAATCACTTAATCTTCCTGGGCCTCTTTTCTGAGGAGGAGATTAATTCTTTCAGCCTGATCTCCCAGGATCTGTCAGGGTGGCTGCCACAGCCTGTTAACCTCTGTGAGCAGCAAGATCTCTGCTGAGCCGGGAGCTCCTATCCCTCTCCAGTCCTCTGCAAAGCACTAGAAAACCGGAAGTGGTGCTGTGGCTCAAGCAGTAGAGCGCTCACCTTGAGCTGAAGAGCATAGGGACAGCACTTAGGCCCAGAGTTCAAGCCCCACAACTGGCCCCAAAAAAAAAAAAAACAAACAAACGAAAGAGGCTCCTCTCTTCCATAGAGCGGTTCCTTATTCTACCATGAGAGATTAAAACATGGTTTGGTTTTCAGAGCAGGGTCAAGGGCAGGAATTGTTATAATTTGAAGACAGCCACTGAACAGTTGACATTTTAAGGAGGGAAGGCATAGAGTCTATAACATAGAGAAGAGATGTGTGCCACAGTGCCAGGGCCATGGCTGAGCAGTGCATCTGCTGCCGGGTGCCCTTCTACACTCAAAGTGACCAGTCATGCAAGGAGCCCAGGTATGTCAGAGACACTCACCTGAAAACAAGCCGCCCATGAATGATGCTTGCCCCATAGCCATCAGTCCAGCCGTCATCTCTTCCGTGACGCACCGGGTTCTCTGAGGCTCTCTAGTGTATTGGCTTCTCTTCTTTGGTCATGTGTTGTAGCCATCATGTCTGTATTCAGGGGAATAAGCAGAGGACAGGAGGCAGGGCAGCCCTCGCTCGCTCCTTGTGACGTGGCACCCTATATGCTGCTCCTGGCTCCAGCGGGCCTCACCTCACAGGCACCATGGGGAGAGCCTGGCGGGCCCGAGCAGACAGTGAGTGGCCTTGCAGGAGCGCAGGCTGAAGAGGAAAGGAAGGGTGCGCAGTTGTGCTAGGTGGTGCACGCCGCGCGGCTCCGCCGGGTTTCCTTTGTGTCTATGGATCTTCTTGTCTCGCAGCTTGTGCCGCCCTGGCTCCTTCTCAGCTGGCCCAGTGTGGACAGCTGACTTCTTACTGCTGTTCTGATCCTAAATGCTGGGCGTTGCTTTCTTTAATTCCTTTCTAAAAATTATTTAGAAAAAGGAATTATTAAACAGTCTGCACATCTTGCTCTCTCCTTATCTTTTTTTTTTTTTTTTTTGTCAGTCCTGGGGCTTGAACTCTGGGCCTGGGGCGCTGTCCCTCAGCTCTTCAGCTCAAGGCTAGTGCTCTACCACTTGAGCCAGTGTCACTTCCAGCTTTTTCTGCTTATGTGGTGATGAGGAATACACCCAGGGCCTCATGCATGCAAGGCTAGCACTCTACCACTTGAACTACAGTGCCACTTCCAGTTTTCTGAGTGGTTTATTGGAGATATATCTCCCAAACTTTCCTGCTTGGATTGGCTTTGGACTGCGATCCTCAGATCAGCCTCCTGAGTAGCTAGTATTACAGGTGTAAGGCACTGGCACCCAGCTCTCCTTACCTTTAAAATCCTGCTATTTGGCTGGGAAGGTGGCTCAGTGGTAGAGCACTTACCTTGCCTGCCTGAGGCCCTGGGTTCGATTCCCCAGCATCACATAAGCAAAAAGAAAAAAGCCGGAAGTGGAGCTGTGGCTCAAGTGGTAGAGCGCTAGCCGTGAGCTGAAGAGCTGAGGGACAGCGCCCAGGCCCAGAGTTCAGGCCCCACGACCGGACCCCCCCCCCAAAACAAAAAAAAATCCTGCTATTCTTCATTTCTTTTTGGAGTATCTTCTATTTTTAAGTGTTGTAAGGTGTTTTTTTCCTGGGAAAGACGTCTTCTTTCTATTACTCCTTTATTGGTTTGTGTGGTTATTAACAGATGGAACAGCGCTCCTGCAGCATTGCTGCGTTGCGCGTGGAGCGCCTCTGTGCTGGTGGAGTGCAGGGCAAAGGGCATTCCTGTGGTCAGCCCAGTCAGAAACGTGTTGGAAATCAGAGCAGCTTTGGCTTGATGGCTGTGAAGCGTCTGATTGATGTAGGCAGTGACAGTTCGATACATGGAGTCAAAGCAAAAATGTGAGGAAAGACCCCTTATGGAAACATGACAATGTTACAGTTGATTCTTTTTTCCCTCTTGAAGGTGCCCGCGCCTGTGCGTGCTTGTGCGTGCTTGTGTGTGCTTGTGTGTGCTTGCACCACTTGCTCTGGGCTGAACCGGGAGGCTGTGGCTACAGCTCTGCTCTGGAGCCTGTGCAGTTAGCAATTGTTGTTACCCATCATTCCACCGCCTTTGTGAGTGGTGGGAAGCCCAGACACTACCTTTCTTGGGTCGGACTCTAGGTAGGTGTAGGCAGCACAGACTGTCACCTGGTAGGAGGCAGGGGGCTGCATTTGCCCCCTTCCTGCCGAGGCTGCCCCTTGTCTCTTGCCCGGGGAGCAGACTGGCAAGTTTGATTAGACAGACAGACGCCCAGGTTCTTGTGGCCACAGCAGGGGTTAGGAACTTCTTTGCTTTTTTTTTTTTTTTTAATTTTTAGTTCTCTTTATAAAAAATTGTAAAATGAAAATCTTTTTCCTTCTTAGATTCAGAACATTAAACAGACCAATAGTGCTCTCAAAGAAAAACTTGATGGTGGAATAGAACCATACCGGCTCCCGGAGGTAGGATCGCTCCTTGTCTCAGAGGTTGATGTGTGGCTGCATCCCCAGTGTGTGTGCTGTCGGACATGAAGGGTTTAGACATAATTTTTTTTTTTGTTTTTGGTCCGTCATGGGTCTTGAACTCTGGGCCTGGGTGCTGTCCTGTACTCTTCAGCTCAAGACGAGCACTCTACTGCTTGAGCGACAGCACCACTTCCAGTTTTCTAGCGGTTTATTGGAGATAAGAGTCTCACGGACTTTCCTGCCCGGGCTGGCTTTGAACCGCAATCCTCAGATCTCAGCCTCCTGAGTAGCTAAGATTACAGGTGTGAGCCACCGGCGCCTGGTTGTAGCCATAATTTTATAAAACTAGTTATGTTAAAATTCTCTACAAGGAAAAGAAAGATTCCTTAAGGACGTACTTCTTTTTCCATGTAATATGCTAACCATCTGTCTGGATGTCTAGGTCGTTCAGAAGTGCAATGCCCGGTGGACCACGGAAGAGCAGCTCCTTGCTGTCCAAGGTATGGCGCCGCAGACAGCCTGCGGGTGGCGGGTGGTCTCGGGAGGGGACGTCCCCCCCCCCCCACTTTCACCCAGTGACGACTACCTTCTCTCCACACACTTTAACCATAGCTCCTCTGCTTTTATATCTCAGTTTTGTTTTATTCCCCATGACTTACAAGTTATAAATATGAACTTGGAAGCCACAGTTTTGTAAGCTGTATTACACTTCAGCTGTTGCTTGTTGAGTGTTGCATAGTCAAGAAGTACAAAATCCCAAAAGAAAAAGATGAAGTGTTAAAATTTTAAGATGGGAAATGTATTAGACCTGCTGTGACCCCCTTAAAATAAAAAAAAATGCAGAATGCATTCCCACCATGGGGCCATATGACATCTGGGAAGACAGGTTTGTGGGTGGCAGGGCGGCACTCAAGTCCAGGGCCCCTCTGTGGGGTGTTCGTTTCTTGAGTTGGCTGCGCTCTTTCCACTGGTGAACCATGTACAGGAACGCCTGCTGTCAGAAGCCTGTACTCTATGTTTTGTTATCAGGATGAAAGGACAAGGCTCAATTGTGGTTCTTTTTTTTTTGGGTCCGGTCGTGGGGCCTGAACTCTGGGCCTGGGCGCTGCCCCTCAGCTCTTCAGCTCAAGGCTAGCGCTCTACCACTTGAGCCACGGCGCCACTTCCGGCTTTTTTCTTTTTTCTTATGTGGTGCTGAGGAATCGAACCCAGGGCCTCAGGCATGCAAGGCAAGGGCTCTACCACTGAGCCACCTTCCCAGCCCTCAATTGTGGTTCTTAAAGATTGTTTTTTCTCTTGCATTTAAAAAAAATGCCCTTTGTCTCCCTAGCCATCAGGAAATACGGGCGAGATTTTCAGGCAATCTCAGACGTGATTGGGAACAAGTCAGTGGTACAGGTGAAAAATTTCTTTGTAAATTATCGACGCCGCTTCAACATAGATGAAGTTTTACAAGAATGGGAGGCAGAACATGGTAAAGAAGAGACCAATGGGCCCAGTAACCAGAGACCTGCCAAGCCCCCTGACAGCTCTATCAAGATGCCCGAGGAGGAAGATGAGGTAAATCTACGGCAGCGGTCCCTTCCCCACAGCCGTTCACCGGCATGCACCTTCCCCTGTCAGATGTGCTGGCAGCTTGCTTAAAATTTTATTTTTATTTTTTGTTGTTATTATAAAGGTGATGTATGGGGGGTGAGTGTGGGGGGGGGAGTCACAGTTACGTACGTCAAGTTATGACTATTTTTCTTTTTGGACGGTGTCACCCTTCCCTCTCCCTGTGCCAACAGCTTTTCCCAGAAAATGCCATAATCCATGTGCTCTGCCTCTAGGCAGAGACTGGTGAGCCACTGGCCTCAATGGCCAGTAGAGAGCCCATCGCAACAGAGACGTGTGAGACCCCCACGGGCGCGTATAGCCGCGTCAGCACGCTGCGCGGCCCGCCCAGCTGTGCCACCTACTGGTGAGCGCCTGTGTATGTCCTCTGCCAGCTCCAGCAGCTGCCAGGGGCTGAGCCATCGTTTCTGGGAGGGAGGTGCCCATTTCCTCTGCCCCATCGGCTGGTATGTGAAGGATTGGACTGACCAGAGACACTTGAGCTTCCTGTGCCAGGCTCCCTTGTCATTTCCCACCTGGCCTGGCCTGCTCTGCTCTGTTCTCCATTCCCAGAGATCACACATCGAGAGGCTTGACCTAGACCGTCACTGCACATCTGAGCTTGTTCACTGACATCATAATTCAAGGATTTGCCTAGTTTTCTGACACATCCCGCAGCCCCTGCAGTCCATTTATGTGATCACCTGGGTGGCATGTGATTGCTGCCCCTTTGCACCATATCCTGGCACCCAGAGCTTGGCAGTGAAGGGGTAGCCATAGGCCACACAGGGCCTGTCAGGTCTTAAAGGGCTCTGAGCACTTCCCTTAGAAAAGCAGTGAAGCCTGAAAATGCCCCCGGCCTGTGTGAATGCACGCCTGACACATCACTTTGTGACAGCTTGAGACCTGAGACCTGGTAGCAAATGAGAAAGCAAATGGACTTTGACTTTTTGGCGGTAATTCTGTTCTAGTGTTAATTGCCCCTTTAGTAACAAACTGACTTCAGTCATAGCCCATCCCTCCTCTCCTCCGCTCCCTTTTTTCAGTGCTGGCTTGGACGGGACATCGCTCACCGTCCTGTGCCTGACCATTCTAAATTCTGAATGTCGGAAGTCAACCTGTTTGAGCTGCTCTTTGTTTAAATAGACAGAGAGAAACAGAGAGAGAGGGAGACACCCTGAGATACTACCTTACCCCAGTCAGAATGACCTATATCCTGAATTTAGGCAATGACAAATGCTGGCAGGGATGTGGAGAAAGAGGAACCCTACTGCACTGCTGGTGGGAATGTAAGCTAGTGCAACCACTCTGGAAAGCAGTCAGGAGTTTCCTCAAAAAACTAAACATAAGGGCTGGGAAGGTGGCTCAGTGGTAGAGCGCTTGCCTCGCATGTATGAGGCCCTGGGTTCGATTTCTCAGTACCACATAAGCAAAAAGAAAAAAGCCGGAAGTGGCGCTGTGGCTCAAGTGGTAGAGCGTTAGCCTTGAGCTGAAGAGCTGAGGGACAGCGCCCAGGCCCAGAGTTCAGGCCCCACGACTAGACCAAAAAACAAAAACAAAGCCATTAGATATGATAAAATAATGGCATTTGCAGAGAAATATATGAAAGTAGAACAAATCATGTTGTGTGAGGTAAGCCAAGATCAGAGAGGCAAATGGCGCATGTCCTCCCTGATAGTCAGATGTGAGATTTAAAATGCAGTGAGATGACCAAGTAAATAAGACTCAAGACACCCATGCACAGTGAAGCCAGAGGACACCCACACACAGTGAAGCCAGAGGACACCATACACAGTGAAGCCACAGGACACCATACACAGTGAAGCCAGAGGACACCATACACAGTGAAGCCAGAGGACACCATACACAGTGAAGCCAGAGGACACCATACACAGTGAAGCCAGAGGACACCCATACACAGTGAAGCCAGAAGACACCCACACACAGTGAAGCCAGAGGACACCCACACACAGTGAAGCCAGAGGACACCCACACACAGTGAAGCCAGAAGACACCCACACACAGTGAAGCCAGAAGACACCATACACAGTGAAGCCAGAAGACACCATACACAGTGAAGCCACAGGACACCCACACACAGTGAAGCTAGAAGACACCCACACACAGTGAAGCTAGAAGACACCATACACAGTGAAGCCAGAAGACACCATACACAGTGAAGCCAGAGGACACCACACACAGTGAAGCCAGAGGACACCCATACACAGTGAAGCCAGAAGACACCCAATCATCTACAGACTGCCAGAACCCCAAAGACAAGGAAAGAAAGGACTTCTAAATTGGTCTTAGCACTTCTAGATGACTGTATTCTTTACCTTACGTACCGTGTACACACGCACACCTGAGGCTGCTGGGAGGAGGGCATAGAGTCAGTCGGTGGAAAGCAGGTGAGAAAGTACAGCAGAGGTGAACTAAGCAGCTTCAGGCTGTGATGGGAGGAAAGCGTGGAAGAGAAGAGCTGATGCTAAGCAACGTACCTACCACCCACTTCGGAAGAAACCGTTTTATTATTAAAGTTCATAGAGTTCATAAGCTTTGTAGATTAAGATGATGATTATCATTGTGATGGTTAAAATGTGTTTGTGACTTTATTTTGTCGGTCGTGAGGCTTGAACTCTGGGCCTGGGCGCTGTCCCTCAGCTCTTCAGCTCAAGGCCAGCGCTCTACCACTTGAGCCACAGTGCCTCTTCTCGTTTTCTGGTGGTTTATTAGAGATAAGAGTCTCACGGACTTTCCTACCTGGTCTGGCCTTGAACCATGATCTTCAGATCTCAGCCTCCCGAGTAGCTAGGATTGCAGGTGTGAGCCACCAGAGAGTGTTGTGACTTTAGCTAAGTATAACTATGCCACAGTATTGTGAAATTTATGTAGTCACTTAATCTCAAAAAAGAAATATTTGGAGGGGCTAGGAAAGTGGCTCAGTGGTAGAGTGCTTGCCTAGCAAGCATGAAGCACTGGGTTCATCCTCAGAACTATATAAACAACAAAGCTGGAAGTAGCGCTGTGGCTCAAATGAGTACTAGCTTTGAGCACCAAGAGGCTCAGGGACAGAGCCTGAGCTCTGAATTTGAGCCCAGGACTTCCATATATAGAGATGGAAGGAAAAAAGCACTCGAGAAGAGAAAGCATGTATAACCAACAGCTAGTGGTCATTGACATCCTCCTTTATGTAAAGATGGAATTACCAATTGGAGAGGTGGCAGGTTAGAGTCTTGCTGAAAATTAGGATGTATTGCCAACAAGGAGAGTTCTGGCAGGACTATCTCAGTTCTGTCTCAGCACCACCCTGAAGCAGCGGTATTCTTGGATTTTGGATTCGCAGCCTGGCAGCTTCCCCAGAGGGCATTCTGTCTTCTGGCAGGAATTAGTGGCTGCTACCACCTGTCTCTGGACAATGAATCGTTGCCACTTCCGCACTGTTCAGCCAGCATTGTGCTCCTGCGCTGTCCTTTCTTCACCGAGGAGCACACTGCTGTGGATGGGAACGCGTGCGTCCACACTCGCACGCTCCCCACCTAGGAAGCGCTTGTGCAGCCAGGCACTGCGTCTGCCATGTGGGGTTGGTGACATGTACCTTCTCCCCCCACAGAGCACCCAGCCATAGCTGTGTGCCTTTCCCTGGTCTTTGATCTTTCCTTCCTTTTCCTCTCCTGCAGACTGCTTCCGTCCTCGATGTGAGATACGCCTCGGCCTCGTGAGCGCCGCAGGGGGCTCGGAGCACTTGGTATGGACTCCACGATGTTATCCAGGATATCAGGTATTACAAGACATCACCTAGCCATCTGCATCACATCTCTGTGGACAAGCAGCTATTACCAAAAAAGGCATACACTTCCAGTCCTGCACTACATCTGCCTTAAGTCCTTGCTCGTTCCTCCATGTTGGCGCCACTTCTCAGAGAGCTCCGCTGCATCCCACTCGGCCGCCGGCCGACGTGCTGGGGCCCACGGCTGCACGCTCCCCACCCCCACCCCGCCCTAGCGCGCAGCGCCGCGCAGGGCAGGGCGTGATGGAGGGCCTGGCTCCGCCCTTGCATGGCCCGCACTTTCTACTTTGTGCGTATTGCGATTCTCCGAGTAACCAGCCCTGCTGGCCTTCTAGAAAGCTCCTTGTTCTTTTTGGGGGCAGCCACCTAAGTAATATCATGCTTCCTTGGAAATCAAACGTTTATTGGCAGACTCACAATCTTTATTGTACCAGCCATCCTGATGCCGCTCACCGCCCCCTAAGTGTAGAGCTACGGTTTAGAAACTGGGTGCCCTTCCCCTTTTCCTCTAATGCTACGCCTTTCTCCCTTCCCACGTGGCTCACTCACAGCCACTGTCCTTGGACACTGTAGTTTACCAGGAATACGGACCTCGGCGCTTTCTGCCTTCAGCCTTCAGCATTGCGATCCCAGGGTGGGTGCACCCCATCTCTTCCTGATCCCCCAGCCACCATTGCCACCACCCCACCCCGAGAGATTCGGTCCATATCACTGTACCTGGTGCTTGTACATTTGGAATTGGTGCCTTCTCCTTTTGGCAACCATGTTATCAATCCTTTTCTGTTGAAGTGTCTTATTTAATGTTTATTGCTTGCCAAAGAGAACATCGCTGAGACAAGACGTGGCAGGAGCTGGAGGTTCTGACAGTGAGGATTTTTAAATGTCAGGCTAGTGCAGGACATTAGAATAGCTGGAGATGGTTTTTTACAAGAGACACACCATTTATTCCCACCCTTTTGGTGTGCCTGGCCTGTTGTGTGTGACTGTGTGTGTCCTTTGTGTCCTTTGTGTACAGTGTGATCCCACAAACATCATGGCCTCCCTTCTCAGCAGAGTTCAGGGCAGAGAAGTGATTGGTACTGGTCCACTGCTACCAGGATGGAAAGAATCCATCTGCAGTGCTCCAGAATACATTTAGAGAGGACTGGCTAGGAACAGCGAAGCTCCTTACAGACTTCTGTTCTCTTACTAGACTGCCTCCTGCCCGCCCGTCTGCCTGCCTGGGATAGAGGGTTGTCAGCCAGTCAAGACGGAGCCTGGTTGTTGCATCGCTGAAATAGTTTTTTCTGCTTTGAATACCAAAAAGGAAACAAAAGTAGATGCTTTAATGCATAAACAATTTTTAAGAATTTAAATATGCAATTAGAAATTGGTGTGTTTTGAGTCTCAAGCACCTTGCTTTTTCTATTTACTTAGGTCCACTGATTTTGGGGGTTTATTTTCCTTTAGGAAGAGGCTCAGCTAGGAATCTCGGGTTTGGTGGCGTGTCCGTTCTTTCTGAGAGGTCTGGAGGAAGGAAGGTCATTGGGCAGGGAGCGCGGCAGGACTTTCCGGTCCTGCTGCGGCTGATCATGCGCTTGTTGGCCAGGGAGCACTTGTGAAGATCAGGACCAGGGCCTGGCCTGCTGGTCCGACCTGAGGGCAGGTAGCAAAGCCACACTGGGCACAGCTGAGTTTTGTGTCTTTGTCACCAGCCTGCTGTGGAGTTGGAAGACGGTGGGAATGGCGAGATGGAGGGGCCCGGTTTGCACAAGCCCCTGCCACAGCCTTCCGCTCTCCTCGCTTTCTCAAGTGCTTGCTCCTGCTACCGGGTTGTGTCCAGCACCGAGGCAGCAGCTTTCTCTCTCTGTCTGTGGTTCTGTCTGGCTTCTTCAAGTCCAGGCTCTTTTCCTTCCAGTTTAATCCCTCATGGCAATATCTAGAATTCATGCTAACCCTCAGGAGGCGTGGCAGGCCAGAGCGGCAGGGCTGGGCCCTGTCCCCTTGCATGCTTCTTGGTTTGGAACGCCCTCCAGCCCTGAAGAGTTACGTGCCAGTGTGCTCGTGATCATGGTCGCTCTTTGGGGGGAAAGAGGCGCCCATTCTCATTGGACAGAGGGGAAAGGTGGTCTTTGCCTAGCTGCTTTTGCTGCGGTCTCGTGTAAAACAGCACTGTGCTTTAAACTTTTTATTACATTGTCTTTCCAGTGAGATAATGCAAGAAACCACTTAGCTTTCAAAGCTGAGTGGTCTGGTCTTACGTACGTGAAGACTCTAACATATCAAGAATTAGGTGCGTTGGCAGGGTGCATTTGGGACATGGTAACTGCTTCAGATAGAATGTCACTCAAGCTTTGTGTTCTTAAAATTATCAATGTGAATGTCATAATTATATATATTTTTGGGGGAAATTCTCCTAAGTATAAGTTATTGTGCAAAATATAGTATCATGAACACAAATAATAGTTAACTTTTAGTTTAGGAATCCCTAAAAGATCAATTGTATTGCATATGCATTAAAAGTTTGTTTTATTTAATTTTGTGTAGATGTGTAAAGTCTTAGGTAAAAGTCCTTTTCACTTACCATTTAGACACCTGTTACTTGAATGTCGCGTGGACTGGCGAGCAGCAGTGGTCGTCTCTGTAACGTAGCTGTAGCTGGGAAGCTGGCGCCCACCCAGTCGCCGCTGGGGCGCACAGTCAGGTGTGCGTGTGGGCGGGAGCCGGTTAGCACTGTCCGCCCACTGCCTTGTCTTGTGTGTTTGTCAAGACATGGCTTCCTCAAGATAGTTACTGGTTTTAATCTATAAGATCCGCTGGGATCACAAGCCTCTAATCGCAAAAGACGAAAGGCTTACTGTGTTGGAGTAATTCAGTAGTTGCTTTCTGTTCATATAAAAGTTCCTCAAATATCACACGCCACTCTGCGTGCTCATTGTCACTTTAAATTTCAACTATACCCTATTTTTGTCTTTCTAAATATCAGATGTACTATTGGTATAATTGTACACCAAAAATAAGCCAAACAGTGCATTACACTAACTGGATCCCTGCTTTTATGTGAGCAAAGGAAAGACAGAGCCAACGCCCAACACGAGCCTCTCTCTCCACTAGCCTGTTTCTATGAGTAGTGACCCAGGATTCAAGCTTTTGGTATCAAGCAATCTTTGCCTCCAATTACTCGGAGTAGTTAGAGCCTCCTAATCTAATCTAGTGACCTCGTGCAATGCTCTTTCTGCCACTCCCGGATCTCCGTGGCTTTTCCTAACTTTAGTAAAGCACAATGGCAGGAACGCTATATAGTTGAGAAGAAGGCAGGTCAGTATAGTCTATGCATGTTGTAAAATAATGAGTGTTTACAGTCACCTTCTACAGCGAAGTTTATACCGGAGCCCACAGTGCTCCACCATCTAGACTTACAACTTTGCTAAGTGCTTTTTAGATTGCTTAAAATTTTTTCAAGATTTTAAAAGATGTATAAGGTTAAGTTTGCAAATATAATGGAAATGCTGTATATCTTTTGAAGTGATAAAAATCCACTTTGGAATTTTAAAGAAAATATGTTGTAATAATGCTGTTGTAAGTAATATTTTCCTGTCTCTCTGCCTGTTTTCTATTTCAGCACATACGTTGTGGTGAATGTTCATAGCATTATAATTGCTTAGCCATTGAATGATAAATTTGTTAGTGGAAATTGGAAGATTTGTGAAATTCTGCAGAATTCATTTTTCTATTTCCAATATTTGCTGAAGTTAAATAAAAATTTTCAAGCCATTGATGTAATAAAATATGAAGCGAAACAGTATCTGCACCCCCATCTCCACCCTCATATGAAGTGGGGTGCTGTTCTTCCTTCTGAGCAGGCCTGGGGGGGCTTGGTATGTGCAACGTCCCAGAACTTGACCTCTGAGGCAGCCGCGCAGTCCGTCTTCAGCGGTGCCTGACCTCTGAGCTGGTCCCTGGCGGCCTCCCAGTCGTCTTCAGC